AGGTGTTCCTCCATGGTACTGGAGTCAAATGTGTTTACTATACACAGCTAGAATTTGAGTCATGACAAGTTTAATAGGAAGGTTGGCTGGAAATCAGGATGGACAAGTTCTATCCCTTCATTTGGGACCCTGAATAACCCCCCTTCTCTAGGATTCCAGCTACCACCTACTTCCCAGGGCTTCTTCACAGCAAAATTCTCAGAGTCACCTATACCACTGGTCCTCAAAGTGTGGTCTGGTTTGGGAGTCTGTGAAGCCAAACCTTTTCATAAATGACAACCGGACATTATTTGCTTTTTTCACTTTCACTCTCTCATAATTGTGCACTGGAGTTTTCCAGAAATTACATGATGAGTGACACAACACCAGCTTAGAATGCAGGAGCAAATGAGAATCCAATTCACTATTAAGACATTAAAACCAGCTGACTATTAAGACATTAAAGAGATATGCAAACATAAAACAATGCCACTCTACAGTTTTCAAAACCAGAAATGTAGTAATTTCATAAAATGTAACATGAAAATTCATAAATTACGGTAATATGTAACTGATTTGCTGTTATCTATTCCTTCATTTGAAAAGAACATTTAAAACATGTTTTAATTTTTAACACTGCAAATATTCACAGATACAACCTAAAACAAAGCTCTCTGGAGTACGTCATTTCCAGAGTGTAAAAAAGGCTTTCAGACCAAAATCTTTGAGAATTATTGGTCTATTCAGTCTCCTACTCCTTCCTCTTTGCCTCTCAAATCCACTCCATTTAGGGGTTCCCCTATTACTTCACAAAAGTGATCATCAGCACTAATGACTTTCCCTTACCAAATCCAAGGGTCAATCCATCTCACTCACCCTCTGGCAGAACATGCCACAGCTGATTATCTCTGCCTCTTGATTCCTTTCCTCTCCGACTCCTTTCCTTCTCACCCTCAATGCTGGAAGACCCAGAGATCAGTCCTCTGCCCACCCCAGTACCCTGGCAATCTCTTGAGTTTGTATCTCTAGGTCAGACCCCTCCCCTAAACTCCAGACTCATCCACATGCCACTCTACATTTACCTGTACACAGATTCTACATAGGTAAGCCAAACTTTCCGGTGATTAAAACCTAACTTTCTCCCAGTCTTCCCCATCTCATTTGATGACAATCCTAGCCTTCTAACTTAAGTCAAAACCCTGGAGACATCCTTAATTCCTCTCTCTTATACCTCACTTATGACCCTGCAGGTAGTTCTGTTGGTTCTGACTTCAATATATACCCCAAGTCCAACCATCACCTTCCCTACTCCATTGTTTTCAAGCAGTCATCATCCCTCACCTGGATTATTACAGTAGCCTCCCTCCTTTTCCTACCATTTATTTTTAAGACAGCAGGTAAAGTGATACTTTCAAAAAATCAGATATCGCACAGCTGGCTTTCCAGCTCATCCCAAATAAAAGACAAACTTTATAGTGGCCTTCAAGGTCCACTCTACTTGTTACCCTCTCTCCTCTTCCTATACCTTTCACTCCTTCTGCTCACTCTGTCCAGCTTCTGGGCCTTTATATTTACCTGTTACCTCTGTCTGGGAGGTTCTCCCCAGAAATCCTCAGGATTCAGTCCCTCAACTCTAACCTTTGCTCAAAGGCCACCGTCTCCAGGAGAACCACCTGATGATCCCCACCCCCAACATCCATTACCTGTGTTTATTGTCTGTTTTTCCAATAGAATGTTAAGCTCTACACTGCAAAAATATTTGACTGTTTTGATCAATAACGTATCACTGTATCTAAAATGGTACCTAGCAAAGTTTCATAATAAATATGTTGAACAAATAAATGGAATGAGTTTGTCCACCTACTAAGCTTGGCAGGGAGAGAGGAAGTCAGATTCAATGTTTTTCTCAACTCAAGCCTCTGTCCGATTCTCTGACCAACCAGATTCAGCTCATCTACACAACTGATTTAAAGCTTTTGGCACCACAGGATTTGGCTCTGCTCACAGACCTGGGCCCAGGCCCACAATTCTAAGTGCCTAATTAGGATAGGGGAGGACAGGCTACAGTCACATTGGCACCACCAGTACTGTATTGATTAGCTGTCAAAGTCACAAAATAAATTAACCAAATAGCCTGAGACACACTAGTAATCATGTCCCTAATCTTTCAGCCTCTTCTCAAGGTTACCTATTTCTCCTAAAGGAAGGAATCACTTTTACATAGCTAAAACACCCTGCAGAACAGCACAAATCTCAAGTGTGGATGTCCAAATGGAAGTGCCGATCTCAATTAGTTGTGACAACCCCATAATCCTAACCCAAATTCAGGTTCCTCTTCCAATGACAACCTTCCTACGCCAGAGCAAACTTGAATTCTAAGAGGTCTTTCAAAAGCAGAAGAGATAAGATGGAAATGCGAAGTGACAGCACACAATACAATTAAGACACTGTCTAGCCAGCCCTTTTGGTTTCTAACATGGCACCAGCCCAAGCCGAGCTTTGGGGAATGCTGTTCTCTTACCCACTGGGGATAGGACAAACTGGCCTGGCATCTGGAAGGTACTCAGTCCATGTCTGAGGGGTGGAAGAGCCAACCTAGTGACTCACTACTCCAGACATCAAGTCACTAATGAAACCTACAGATGAAACCAGGCTCAACTTTTTATGAGTCAACTCCACCTAGAAACTGGAGGGTGACGACAGGAAAGGAGGGGACGAAGAACCCACCCAGGTGACAGAAGGCCCTGTGCCTGGCTCCTGAGGCTTCTTCCTTGTGACCACTATGATTAGCATTAATCCCATCACCTCATCAAGCCTTCAGCACCATCTCAGAGTAGGTTATTTCTAGCTTATCATATTGATATGGGAAAAAAGGAGGCGGGGGCTGCTTGCGTATCATATACCTGTCCTTAATTTAGCAGGACCTGGGGTATATTACTTAACCCCTTGCAGGGTTGTAGAGGTAAAGCATAATGGTACGGGAGAAAATACCTAGCATATATGGTAGTTTTTCATCTTATTTCCCTTGCTCTCACCTCAGACTCCAGTCCAACGCAACAACCCTACTGTTCCAGGTCCAAGCCTTTGGGTTTTCTACCTCAACCTCTGTCCATACTGTTCCTTCTCCTGGCAGGTCCCTGTCCTCTGATTGCCACATGTCTGCATTTCTCACTAACCCAAATTGGTCTAGTCTCAGATGTGCCAGGTTCCCTTTGGCTTCGAGTCCTGTGAAGAGGCTTATTCTTCTAACCGGCATGCTCCTCTAACTTACTCTTGACTCTGGGCATCAACACCTGGAAGGTCAATTTCCTTAATACCTCTTTGTCACTGTAAAACAACTATGATAAATACTGATGAACATTTCTTTCCCTAATTAAGCTGCAGAATTCATGAAGAAGTTTCTGGTTTTGCTTATGTAATCCCAGAGCCTAGCACAATGGTCATGTTTCACTTAGCAATGGGCATATATTCTGAGAAATGCTTCGCTGAGCAATTTCATCACTGTGTGGTTATCATCATGTACTTACACAAACCTAGATAGCATAGCTTACTACACACCTAAGCAATATGGCATAGCATATTGGTCTCAGGCTACAAACCTATACAGAATGTTACTGTACTGAATACTCTAGGGGGTTAACACAATGGTACTTGTGTATCTAAACATAAAAAGGTAACGCACTATACCACAATGTGCACCACATTATGACAGCTACGACATCACTAGGCATTAGAAATTTTTCAGCTCCATTATAATCTTACGTGGTGGGACCCAAAAACAACTGGAATTATATTTTGGAGGGCAGACACCTTGTAATACATATTTCCCCCACTAGGTAAGTGTCCTGGGAACTCATTAGCATCAGTGTATCAGCTAATGTTGTGAGAAGCTGCATCTGGCTTTGGTAATTTTTTTTTTATTTGGAGATTTTTTTAATGTATTTGCCCACTTCACAATGGGTCATTTAGGAGCGCACCTGCCATCACTGCGATGCGTGTTCAGCAGTTTTTGGCCCCAAATGGCACGACCTCCATTCCTCACTCTTCCTATTTACCCAATCTTGCCCCAAGCAACTTTTTGATTGTTTGTTTCCTTGAGTGAAAAAAAGTCTTCAAAGGGAAATATTTTGCCAGTGTGGAAGAGGTAAAAAACAGAAGCACTAAAAGGCATCAAAATTGATGAATTCAAAACTGTTCTGAGCAGTAGAAAAAGCATCTTAATAGATGCACTGCATCAAACAGAGTACTTTGAAGGTGACTGAAGTTTAAACATGTAATAATAAACACAATTTTTCAAAAATAAATTCCGGATTTTTTGGGTCCCCCTCATATGTCTGCCATGGTATATGAAGTTCCTCATTAACCAAAACGTTTATGCAGCAATGACTGTACTTGACAAATGAAAGCTCACAATAAATGTGCTAAATAATCAAAGACTTCCATGTAAGAATATTCACTAACACATTCCTTATGGGATCTGAGACACAATCTGACATCTAAAGTAAGAGTGGTTAAATTATGGTACTTATGATGAAAATGTCCTATTATTGCTGAAAGCCACACTTTCAAAGTATGAGACGGGGGAATGCTCAGATTTGTGTTGAATGAAAAGAGCAGGAACCAAAACTCTACCTAACTCTAGCAAGATCTAAGCTATGTAGAATTGGATGTGTGGGTAGGAGTAATACAATCAAAGATAGTGCTTATTCTCAGCAAAACTGTCTATGTATCTTTTGCACATTTTTCCTACAGTGGGCACTGATGAGAAAAAGTGTCTCTAAAAAACTCTGAAGAGATTCGGCTCAAATGCAACCTCTGCTGAGAACACTTCTCTAGACTTTCCAACTTGTACTCAGATAAACCCACATCGTCCTCATTAACATCTGGGGGGATCTTTGCTAACATGCACTTACGTTCTCTTCAACCTGCACTCCTGCCCAACTCCACAGGGCCCACCCCAGAGCCCAGAAGGAAGGACCCAGTCCAAAAGTGTGCATGCAGAACAAAAAGAGAGCACTCACCTACTTTAAAAACACCCAAGATGCTCAGCCCTGAATTTTAAGCAGCACATGTGACCTGGTCCATTCTGGTTTCAAGTTCAAAGGCATCAGGCCGATCCTGTGGGTTAGCAGCTAACATATCTTTCAAGAGCTGCTTGATCCCCTCAGACATGGAAGTCCTGCGTTTTTGGGGGATGTGCAACTCCATCTTTGGGTTTTCTAGCAGCGCCTCACCAACAGGGACGATCTCAGTCCCCTGTTTAATATAGGTCCCCAGGAGTTCCTTCTTGGTCTCAGAGTCAATAAAAGTGATTCTTTCTATCATTGCCCAGATGATAATGCCCAGGGCAAAGATGTCTGCCTTGGCTGTGTAGTGTCCCTCCCACACTTCAGGAGCCATGTAGAAGTCTGAGCCGCAGGCTGAGGACAGCCAGTATTTATTCACATTCACATTTTTGTTGTCTTGATTGCCCTCTTTGCCTCGGGGTGCCAGCCCGGCACAGACCTTGCTTAGTCCAAAGTCTGCCACCTTGAGGATGGGGGTGCCAGACCGCTCTGTGATGAGGATGTTGTCTGGCTTTAGGTCCCTGTGTACGATGTGGTTTTTGTGCAGGAAGGCAATGGCGCTTGTGAGCTGTAGCATGAAGCTTTTGTTGGTGGCAGGGTCAGGCCTCCGGGACAGGACGTACTGATTCAGGTCTCCACCTTCACAGAACTCCATGACAAACCAGAGATAGCAGGGCTCTTCAGCATAACCCAGGATCCTCTCCCCTAAGTCAAAGGAAGGTAGGAAAGAGCTTGAGTGAGATGGACACATTCACACTTTTAGACTAAAGAATGCAGTATATTAAAGTGAGGGTGACAGTGGTGACACAGAGCTGCTTCAAGAGGACCTGCACACTGGCACTGAGCCCTGTTTCTACTTACATATGACATGTCAAGGTATGACACAGGAACCAGGGACTGGAGTTAAACACCTGGGGACTGGAATGAAGAGGTCTGCAGGGAAACTCAGATTTACTGCTGTCGGTTTGACTGTGAAGCCATTTTGTTTCATGACACTGTCTCCAAAAGAGCAGCATCACACCACCCACAAGTATCCCAGGGCTGCTGGGCAGATGGAACAAGGTAAAGCCTGCAAGGCCATCAAATGTCTGCAGCTTCTGTCATTACTGTTACGCCACACCAGGCAAATGACCTTTCCTCTCTTCTTCCCTGATTCATATAATTATCCATCTAGAAGGATACTACAATTTTGTTTATTTAAGTGGCATACTCCACCCCATTAATATCCTCTGAGTGCCCACCACATGCCTAACCAAGTTAGGTGTACAATTCTTGTCTCTATGAAGATTAGGTGCACAATTCTTGTCTCTATGAAGATTAGCTTCGAGGAAACGACAGGTATCTACAGCAGCAACCATCAAAAACCTTACATGTGTGACTCTTAGGAACAGGGAAGGATGGGCAGGAGTTGCAAGATCCAGAGAAGACAGAGGGACAGGATTATCCTTAAAGGACAGGCAGTAGATCAGCAGGGGGAAACAAGGAGGAATTCTAGGCTGAGAGATGGGATGGATCATGGAACACAAGGACAAATAGACTAGAAAGGTGTAAACAGGAAATCTGCACTCAGCAGAGTCTGAATTAGATGCACAAGGCAAAACTGAGTTGCGTGGGCTTGAAACTCCAGGAAAACTGGTGACTGGCATCTCTAAGCAAATCCCAACAATCTTCATAAAGCAACTGACAGCACAGTGAACCCTTACATGGAAGTAAATAAGTAAGCTAAGTCTAGACAGGCAGGTGTGTTATCTTGCTGATGAGGAAGCCAGACCTGTAAGTGAAGGGACATGCACCACGTAATCACATGGGTCATTTGTATTAAGCCAGGACCTGAAGATAAGTTCTCTAGGCCCCAGTATGGTGTAGCCATTCTACCAAGCAAGGACTGCACCTCCCCAGAGAATCTCTGCCAGAGGGTTCTGCTTTTACTAGTCACTCTACTGGATGACAGCCCACTAGCCCAAACAGTCCTGAAATTACCAAGGCACACAGTCTACCAAAGCCAGTGGCTTGGGAGTTTTAGGTTGAGCCAAGATGATTTGACATGCAAGACAAAAGCTTTAGGTTTTTTACCACAATTTGACAGACCTCATTTCCTCTGTAATTATATAATTTATTGGTTTATATTACTCACAAAGTCATACAGGTAAAACCAGTTTAGGGCAGATGTTTCTTTTCTTTTTTTTTTTAAATCAGTTATTTTCCCTCTCATAATCCTCTTTCTAGGTCACAGGCCTGGGACTCTATCTAAAAACACTGCAAAATGAGGCAGCAATTGAAAGCCCGAATCAAGCTGGACTCCAGAGTAAAGACCCGTAAAAAGGAGCACAAGAAATATTTACTGGAGGTGGAGCCAGAAAGGAAAAGATTAAAAAAGTCATCAAATTCCTTCTGCAAAGGTCACATCAGAAAACAGTGAAACTTCTGATGGCAGAATAAAGGGTGGGGAAATGATGATTATTTTATATACAAAGTTGGTAACTATGGAAACTCAAGGACAAAGAAAACAAGGCTACAAAACAGACTATAATGTAAGTCCAGGTTATGAGAATCTGGGGAAAGGAAAAAAAGGATAAAGTAAGTGCCTGAAGTCAGTGAGTGGATAGGGGAGAAGAGACCCCAGTCGGAGGAGACTGCTCTAAGTAGGGAGCCAGGCTCAGGGATGCTAAGAAGAAACTGTGTTGACAAGAAAACTCTGGACAAGAAGTATTCTCAGCATCAGACACAGTACCAGTGAGCATGACAGAATGGAAAATGGAAACGCAGCTACTCGTCCGGGAGACTAATGTAAATTATTTGTGCAGACAAGGGCCCTTGGCTTATTTCATGAGCAACTAGAATATGTGTTTTTACACATGAACCCCCAGGTGCCCACAGGTAAACAGTACACACATTAGAATTCCAGTCTTTTACTTCAGGTGGGTTGTCAACGGGGCTCTCAGCTCTCAGTCCCTGAGGCTCTCAGGGCCTCAGTCTTCTCATCTATCAAATGAGAATAGCACCTATACCATATGATGGCTGTGAATAAGACAAGGATATGAACTACATAATGCAGAACATATTTTGGGAGAATCACCCACTGACCATGACTGACATCATTCCCACCCAACCCCAACCAAGTACTTGGAAGTCACTGACTTCAATAGTCCCAGTGCTGTAGACCACAGAATGTTCGGTGAGGGATGAAATTTAGAAAAGAAAATGAAAAAGAATGATTCCATCTAGGACATTAGCTGTAACAGTTAAACTCAAGTTCTGACTATAACAGGCTTTCATTTGGAGTGATCCCTCTACCTAGAAAGACCACCCCCATCTCTGCAGGTGCAACAGAATATGCACCTTGAGGCCAGTTTGAATGTCAGTTTACTTAAAACTTGTTTGATTTCCCAGGTAACTTCCTTCTTCTAACCAGCCAAGGCCATAGTCTTATATTTTTATCTTAGCTTTTATTAAATTGTGCCAGACATTATAGCTCGGAATCCATCTACTTAATCATGAGAAATGCTGGCATGTTCACAAATGGTTTTTTTTTTTTTTTTTGAGTTGGAGTCTCACTCTGTCACCCAGACTGGAGTGCAGTGGCACGTTCCCGGCCACCGCAGCCTTGACCTGCTGGCCCCCGGCGATCCTTCCACCTCAGCATCCAAGTAGCTGGAACTATGGGCACATGGTACTGCACCCAGCTAATTCGAAAATGTTTTGAGGTAGAGGTTAGATTCTTCACTCAGTCTTCCAGCCTCCACAGAGGGATCTGCAGTCACTGACCAAGGGGACTATGCACTGGGGAAGGGAAATGGTTAAACTTTCAGGAGTGACTGAACGCTGGTTCTGAAATGACACTAATTCCCAAAGACCAAAACTTCATGGTGGTCCACCAGGCAGAGTAGAAGCTGGTGGTCAGTTAACCAGTGGAGTTTTAGCTCGGGCCCCTCAAGTAGGCCTAGTGGTTTCCCAGCTCTGCCACCCTGCCACTTCCCCAGTTCAGGATGTGTAACTGGAATAGACACATGCAACAACCATTGGAATCTCGACCTGAAATTTACAGTTCCTTCGAGCTGACAGAAACAAACAAACAAACAAAAAAAATCGACTTAAGTTTTATACTTCCCTTGTCTGGCAAAACCTGACAGTTGTGTAAGATTAATAAGAGTTAAAAATGTAGCTTTCTACCCAGAGAAGGAGGAAAACAGTGAGTGTTATTTGGAGGTAATAAGGACTTGCAATAAATTAACCTCTGAAAGCTCACTGGGTTCCAGGAACGATTTTAAAAGTTCATTATGTAAGCTGTTTCATCTTACTGGACACCGATTTATAGGTAGGGAAACCAAAGTTGAAAATGGTTACGTCACCTGCCCAAGAGCACTACCATAGAAGAGGCGCAGGATGAGCTGCCAAGTCATTCCAGTCTCCCAGTTCACAAAGGACTGAAGAAAATGTGCTCGAGAGGTAGGCCTGTCTTTGGGACAGTTTTACTACCTTTCCCTCAAGTCTGATAGGCAGCTGACAACAAAACAAACTATGTATCTCAAGATAGAGCCTATGCCATAGCTCAGGGAGAGAGCGAAACGCTAAAAACAACGAAAGAACAAAACAAAGCAGGTGTCTTGCATCTCATCACTCACGGGAATAAAAAAGTAGTGTTGAAGTCTCCCAATAAAATGTGACCTGCTTCACTGAGAAACTTGAGGCCAGCAGGCTCAGCATAAGGACAAGTCAGTATGAGTGCTGGAAAGGCAGGTGTCTCCTGGAAAGATACAAAACGCCCTGAATTTTACAAGCTATTCCCAAGCCTCCTCCAGAAGTCAGATCTCCAGGTTTTAGTCAACTCCACTTAAACATTCTCTGAGCACACACTGCTTACCAGACTCCGGACATGAGTCCCTGGCCTTGCTTCCACAGGCCCTCGGTCATCAGAAGAATGACTACAGCTATGCTATAAGACAGAGCCAGGAAGATGGCCCAGCTTTGACTGAGGAGAAGGAAAGAAGCTGGGCTGAAGGGAAGGCAGGTAGCAGAGACCCTTCAACTGCGTCTCCTGAGAGGAGGAAGGTGTGCACACAAGCACGGGGGTGTGAGTGTGCCCAAAGACCCAAGTGCGTATTCTGAGTTAAGGAGACGAGTAGGAATGAGATTGGAACTGTTCTGGGGCAAACTCAGATTCTGAGAAATAGGAAGAAACCAAAAGGATTTTTTTTTGAGTTGGCGTCTCACTCCATCACCCAGGCTGGAGTGCAGTGGCATACTCATGGCCATCCCAGCATCAATCTGCTATGCTCTTGCGATCCTTCTGCCTCAGCCTTCCAAGTAGCTGGAACTATAGGCCCAGCTAATTTTTTATTTATTGCAGAGATGAGGTCTCGCCAAGTTGCCCAGGCTGGTCTGGAACCCCCAGGCTCAGGCAATCTACTCGCTTCAGCCTCCCAAAGTGCTGGGATTACAGCTGAGCCACTGAGCGGGGCCAAAAGTTCTTAATATATAGAGAGAGACACTGTTTATAGAATCTAAGAAGCCGTTAATTTTAAGACATACTATATAAGTAAGACACACAGGCTGCTGACAACACTATGGACATACCATCTTCTAACAGACTTCAGAGATGTTCACCTGTTAAAGAACATGTCTTAGACAATGCTCTGGAGGAACCAGAGGTTGGAGATGGGGGACAGATTAGTAGCAAATGTCTCCTCTAGAGGCCCTGAAACTCA